TACTTTTTTGGTATATATATGTATATTAACCAAGTTCCTTTTACTTAAGCACTAATTTTGTGATTATGTTTAAGATGGAAAAATAAAGATTTTCAAAATTATTAACTGTATTCATTTCTTATCTTTCATTCACTAAAGTATATGTCTCACTTTCCTCAAAATAAGATCGAAAATCAATTTAGAATTCCCATATATGGAAACGATGCATCATCCGCTCAATCTGACTTGCGTGCAGAGAACAAATGAGCAGTTTTGCATGAAAAAATGAAGTTTTCTAAAAAAAAGTGCGTTTCTTTCCTCCATTCGGGTGCCCGGTCGTCAATTGGGTAACCTATCAACAAGTATAATATCAAAAAATAATATGCACTCTCTCTGTACTTTTGTCGGAAAAAACATAGTAATCCAGCACAATATCGTCTGTTTTTGCGTTGGAGAAGAGCAAAATAGCGAGTTTCAATTCCACTTCGGCCACTCTCGCAAGCCCTCACTCGTTCCATTGTGGTCGGCCGGCTTTGGGGTGAGCGGCTAATCATCTAATCGTTAGCTTTCTTTTGGTAATTAACTTGTGTTAATTGGTTGTATATTTTGTCAGAATTTACTCATTTACCCGTAACCCCTGCACACAACACTGTGTGGGAGTTAGTTTGTGGTCAACATCTTTTATGAGACAAATCCAAGCAAACGTTTCCATATACTCCCCCGGCCGTTTATAATAGGAGTATATTCATGAATAGGAAAATGTGGGACCTGTCTTCTTGTTATTGATATGCACTTATCGAAAGAATAATGCCAGACTCAAAACACATTACTGAATCCACCCACATCCGCACCCACACGCCCGCCCACTCAACTACAAACAAAACCCTTACTCTCTAACGAGCAAACACACACACACATACGCACACGCTCACACACACGCACATGCTCGCTCACACATACACGCGCGTGCACACGCACACACCCCCAAATACACTCGCTGCTACTCGTACGCACGCACACATGCGCACACACACACCCACACATGTATTACATCAGTATAAAACACGTCATCTCCGATTAAAATGCACTGCGCGGGAAACAAGGTTGTAACCAAATAGAAGTGATCGATGCAAAGGAAGTACTCACAAACACATAATTGTTCCCTCACAAACACCAGCTAACATCGTAATAAAATATTCACATTCAAAGTTTCCAATTTAATTTGAAAGCCATCTTTATTTACATTTGTTGTGTACCTATGCTAATTTAATAGACATGAATTCAGTTTGTATATGACAATTTTTTACTAAGATATAATGTATAGACATCTAAGTATTTAAAAATCACCGGTAAAAGGTAAAATAAAAGTAAAAGAGAATAAAGGTAAAAGAGAATAAAAGTAAAAGAGAATAAAAGTAAAAGAGAATAAAAGTAAAAGAGAATAAAAGAAAACGAAAAACGAATTCGAACATTTTACTTCATCAGAGAAATAATTAACATACTGTTGAATAAATTTATTCCACAGAAACAAATCTCTGTGTTCAATCAACATATCGAGCCAAACGAATAAAATGCCCAAATAAATATATGTAATCATAAAATCAAGGTTTGTAAAGGAAAAGCCATTTAAATCTCATCATGTATGATAACTTATCGTTTTAAATATATTGACGCTTCAGTTCGTTCACTTTGTACTATGATTTAAACGATTCATTTAAATATAAAGGATCAAAGCGTGAATAAAGATCACATAATTCCCTTTCATATTACACAGTAAGAAGCTTTTGGCCGACGTTTTCCGTTAAAGACATGTTTTAGTAGAGGATGATTACAGCTTGTAATAAGCATTATCATGGGTGTCGATCTGTAACTGATACCTATTCATCAGGGGGGGGGGGGGGGTGATCTATTCATTCACCCCCCCCCCTGATGAATAGGTATTACGTAAGGATCGACACCCATGAGCATTATACATCTTTTCCCAATGCCACTCTGAGAAAAATGCCTCGAAACATACACCAGTAGCTGTAACTAAAAACTCAATGAGCCCGATAAAAGCGCTCTTATCTAGCGCCATCTATCGATGAAAAAGTACTCTTTAATTGGTCTATTCGTTTTGAGTATTTGGGACGTACTTAATTACTCGCTTTGTTGCATTTACATTGAAAAACATTGATCAATTCTCATTTTCATACTCATTTAAATCCATGATATTCTATTCTAGCTGTTTCTACGTCTACAGCAAGACTATCAACTATAACTTAGCTGCTAAAGTAAGAACCAGCATTGTAATAAAAGGCTTACACTAACATATTCCAGTCTAAAATTGCACAACCTGAATCATGGCATAGAGCTTTGATGAAGATTACGTGAATCAAAATGATATATGCCTTAGCATATGATATATTTCTCATAAAACACCCATTTGGGATGATTTTTTAAAGTATATATATATATATCTTGTACACATATATAGTGAGAGAATATACATTATGCAGTACATATGATAAAAATAACTGTTTTCCATGCATCATTATTTGTTCTTCAATCAGCTTACACTACCAGAGAGTGTAACACGTTGATGGAAAATGACATGTATAGACTGTTCACAATATTTTACAGTAGAGTACATATTTACCCTGTTTTAAAACAATACAATAGATGAATCATTTCAGTTTGTCCCTACCTAGGGCTATGTTTTTCAAGCTGTGAGTACTGGTATGCTTTATCACACCCATAGAAAGCAATCATTTTCAAATATTATCACACAATGTTACACACTACCGGTGGCAAACGCTTATGTTTAATCAGGGACTTCTAGGTGTCAAGTACCTTCACGCATATTCAATACCTTCGTATTCGTAGACAAATTTGCATTCATGTACACTGTATCATTCATCATATGGTTCTAAACTAAAGCCTTGAAGCCAAGTTGAATATCGCTAAATTAAACAGGGTTATCAAATGTACGTCAGCTGACATGAGAATACGACTTTATATTCAATACAAAACAGGATTTCTACTTTTATTCATATCTAGATAATACAAGATCAGTTTATAATTAAACTATCCTTTAGTTTAAATACCTTTGAAGTTTGAGAAAGCATCGCCCCACTTTGATCCAAAAAAGATAATCAAGTACTGCAAATGGAAAATATCAAGGCGGTTTAAAAGATCAATATGTCATAGCATTGGGGCTTAAAAGGATTTTTTCATGAGAACGATAACCATAATTTTCATTACATTCCTTATTTCTAAGGTTGTATAGATTTTGTTAATACATTCTTAATTGTTGGATCGTTCATTACCATGCAGAAAACACACTTTTATTATCAAGATAGAATGTGCTTCAAGTTTCCTTTTGAATATTTGTCATGACTTGAATGTACATTGCTGACATTAATTATAACGTGTTACATTCATATTCAATCATTTGTTTAAATTCACATGAAAAAAAAACACATGATAGATTCACTTCCTGTAGAGACGGAGAGACGTATGTTCCAGAGGACTCTAACAGACACTTCTACTGGCTGCAAAACAAAAAGACGATACTTGCAGGAAGTACTACTATGGGCAGTTTAACTCTACAATGGCGCCACCTTGAGTTAAGCAAGAAACAAACACAACCGTTCGCCACACAGATTAGCCCTTGCTTTTCATAAATACTTTTAAATTATACTTTTACGAATTCTATAAGTTAATCATTGTAATCTACTGCGTGGGGAGTCCAGGCTAATTGGGGATTCCATTGTATTGCGTGGAAGGGTTGTTATTTATTTTCTTTAAAGAACATCCCAAGGCTTTAAGCCTGTTATTTAATTGGTTGGCTTAATGAACCAGGAAAGGAATGTGAAGTGATGAAAATTGTTGTTAGTCGTTGTTAGGGTTACCAAATAATCGTACTCCGATTGTTCTTATTTCTTTTAGTTCTACTCAGCAGATCTACGATTACCATTTTTGGCAATAATATGCAATTATAATAAATTAAAGTGTACTATTCATAACGCATGGTCGATGACACACTATTTCTATTTCTACATCTTTCTCATGGTCTTCGAATTCACCTTCTTATTCTTAAAACAGTTACGTCTCCAATGTCTTCACATTTTGAATCTATTATACCTTGTATTACTCTGCCAGCATGGTCTTAGTCATTCTTTTCTTTTTACATGGCTTTCGTTCAGTCTGAATGAAAAAGCATATTTGTTTTGAATATTCAACACTATCAAAAGATTTCATCGAACAACCTTCCATCCTTCAGTTTTTTAAACATAAACTCTACCTTTCTACCTTCCAGTTAGTAGGCTTACTTTTGATATGTATACTAAAGGCGAAAAAAAATGTATCCACTTCATAGAATATATCTGCAAAAATCTGAAAGTTGAAAGTTAAAACACACAAACTAGACTCATGGATATTTTACAAATTCAAATCTAACATAGGTACTTTTAATCACTTTCTCTATTATCTTAATGACATTCTTTTGACAAAGGGCACAAGTTAAGATCCAAAAAAGACGCACCAAACTGATTCCAAATATGATTATTCTCTCCAATACCCGGTGTAGAGGCTATTGAGGTGGAGAGGTTGGAACTTTGCAAGGTATCTCCGAACGAATATTCAAATAATGGTGAACCTGTACTCGATTATCATCAAGGGTAGGATATGAAACGTGGAAGGAATAAAATATAGAATCCACAATTGATTTCTTTGATGAAGTATTACTTTTTTGGTAATGGTTTGACAGGTCTCAACCGATAATTGAACTCGTTCATCAATCTACTTTGCTCTAATTTCATAGTGCATAACATCGGTCACCTGCCGGATATAGCGACTCTTCACACCACACATTTAATTGGCCTCCCACTCCTTATTACCATTAAAAATCCATTGCAGTTAACAAGGAGAAACTATATTTTTTTGGAAAAAATGACGACGATTAATGATGACAGCATTTGAAGAACAGCTGATGACAGGAGGACATGAAATCAATCAAAAGGATATGATATGAACAAATTAAATAGGAGACCTTATCTTCAGTCGTAGTCAACCCATCGCATTATCACCTGCAATAGAATGAATCCGAGATAGAGAAAAAGATGAGGATGAGGGAGAGATAAAGGAAGAGTGGGAGGGAGAGAGAGATGGAGTGGTGGATAAATGGGTGGGGGAGAAAAGAGCGATTTAAATGTTAAATCCTTTTTGCCTTTTTTGTAAGGGAGCGAAAACAATTATATATACGCACGGTTCAATAAGTAACTATTAAAGGGCCAGTCCTTTCCAAAAATAACTTACTTTCAATAGAAACACAAAAATCACACAAACCAAACAAAAAAGTTTGAGCAAAATGGGATTACTAATAAGAAAGTTATGAATTTTTAATGATATAAAAAACTTAGAAAATCAGAAGAAGAATTGGCAACTCAAACATGAGTCTGTGGCGTCATTGCCTCAATATCCACTATTTGTTTCCTTTATATTGATAATATAAATTTTCTATTCCCCCCTGAGAATCCTATTTCTTCACACCAGCATCCAAGTGATATCGATGGTAATATGTTTTTGTGTGGATGCACTAATATAGAGTAATTTTTTTCAGTTAAATCATGATAAATGTGAATTTTGGTAAACTATTTATATAAAAATCAATAATTATGAAAATACAATATTTAGGAAATAGTATCAGTTCTACAAAGTTCATGAAAAGTTTTGTGAAATGTTATGCACGCAATATGATACACATCATATAAATCTGGGCAAAGGCATGGGGAAATCAAGTTTTGGGGGATAAAAGGAGAAATTAATGGGATAAAATATATAAAGCCATCGATAAATAGTGGGGCAATGACGTCACAAACTGATAACCAATCGGCAATTCGTGTAGTGATTTCCAATGTTCCATACTTTTTCATACTTTTCCAAAAATTCATAACTTCCTTATCAGTTATCCGATTTTTACTCATTTTTTCTGGCTGTGCTTCTCTTGTTTCTCTGCATCTATAAAAGCAAATTATTTTTGGAGTGGACTTAGCCTTTAAGGTTGAAAGTAAAACCTTATATTGTAAGTACATATTTTTTAATAAAAATCTTTGCATGTGGGTGTGTGTCTGAGAGCATTTCAATGAAAAGCCAATCCCATACCTATAAATTAAACATTTAAAATGAAAAACATTTATCAAAGAATTACTTTATAATTTTCAATGCATACTCAAAAGATCAGAAAATGGATAGGCCTAATCCTTTTCAGAGACTCGTAATCTTACATCAAATAACTCAGCTTTTCCCTTTTCCGGTAATTCTTCCAAGATCTCGTCAAATACGCATCCTAGCTCCTAAAAGACAAACAGGAAAAAACAAAAAATATTATGAAAGTAAAATTGTTTAAAAAAAATCGTAAGTGCACAATGATGAGATAGAAACTCATACATGTATATAACGCAAATTTGCTGGATGGGCCACTCCACACCAAACGATATCGCCACGAATTCCATTCAAAGATTCATCATGAGTCAATCGAGGCACTACCATTGTAAGCTCTTGGGAGGAGGTTACTGTGGGAAACCAGGTAATAGTATTATTCTATTTTGGTTGGCATTCCCTATTCAGTTTTATTGCAGTTGATGGATTTAGCTGGCGTCTCGAGTAAAATAAGTTAATATTTGTTTTGTAGCCCGATCTGTTCGTAGAATCAGTTGGTTTCTGGAAGCCAGTCACCTGGCTTGACTATAATCGTTGATATCTAACCAGTCACGCGATCTATATTTGATAGAAAATGGAACCGTTATGAAGTTTTCTTCTGCAACTTTAGAGGATCTTAGATATAAGATGATTAGATGGATCATATTGTTTTCAACCTATGACTTTTACTTTGGTCATGGATGGCTAGACACACTAGCTAATTAAGATTCTCGAGGTCATTCGTAAGGGATAAAAAGGTTGAGAAATAGGTGAATGCATTTCAAGAATACTTGTTATGCAATCAGGTTTCACACTGCTCAATTTCCCTTAAGGTATACTAATTAGAAATGTTAACATGGTCGGGGAAATGAGATGGGTTAATCATAATTATCTCTGTGTAGGAAAGAAAAGATAGGAATATGAAAATAGGAGTTACATCCGAACAGATCTGTTTAAGATTACTGATTTATCATAATAATGAGAGGAACATCATTACAGAGCTCGCGCAACATTACCAAAATTTACATTGCTTTGCATTCCATTACCCAATGAATTTGATTTCAACTGTGAAAAAACGCCTTTAACAAACTTATGTCAATAGCATTCTTATGACTCAGTACAATGGTTGTTTTTCAGCCGTACGACTTTCTCCATTTCATCTGAAATCTTACCAAATACTCATACTTCTTGTAAGATATAGATGCATTTTGAAGAAAGAAGAGCATGTGAAAATTACAGCTCACTCAAAACAACATATTCTATATTGAGCATTATGTATTAGTTTCTACACATTTCATTCTTTTTGTCTTGGGATTGAATGAATACATAAATATTAAAGAATATGATACTTTTAATAATCACCTCTTGTGTCTTTTTTTGTACAGAAAAACCGATTTCTTCTGCTGGATTGTAATTCCTTTTATCTGTAAAAAACAAAATGAAAAATGAAAAATGTCATCAATTTAACGGTTAAAAAATAAACTTTTCTTGCTGAACATTCTTATCAGGATGGAGTGAATAATTAGGAAATAATTCTATGACAAGATTCAAAATTATATTTGATATATCGTTTCTTTTTTGTTGTATGAACTATCATACTTATTAAAGTAAACTACACAAATTCGTGGGCCTTGTTCGAGGCTAATACAGAGTTTAGATTTAAAAAAAATCATATACAATAACTACCGCTACTATTTCTTCTACTTCTAGAAATACTATTACTACTAATACTACTTCTACCACAACCACAGCCGTTACTACAATAGTGTAATGCTACTTCTATTGCTACTACACTGCTACTACTTTTCCCAATATTAGAAAAATAATCATAATCTGTAAAAGTGAGAGGAAGTTAGTTAAGAAATTAAATCGACCCTCTACTGTGCGATAAAATATATATAAAAAGGAAAATAAGATTAATTTCAAGCCGAGCGCTTCAAAAAATAAATATGGTAGCGACAGTCGAGGAAACAATCAAACATATTAACAATGGTGACGGAAACAGTGACGTAACTGAAAAAGAGCGCATAATAGACGACGTAGACGAGTAGATATTGATGACCCGGAAGAAGTTCCGAGGGCGCTTCCGGTCGCTTTGCTCCATGTGTGTACAGCATAGCGACTCAGACGCGCCTTCCGACTTTCATCTTAGATGTCCTGAATAACCTGATGACTGGCCAAGTTGTACGAATGAAATCTTCCAAACGAACAAACTCTACGAGATTTGTTGCACAAAATAGAAACATCTTCACACAAGGTATTATCAAAAATTTGGAAATGCACTTTATAGTTGACTTTTTATATCATTATTATTATTTTCGTCTCGAAACTGAACTTTATTGAATATTTTCTCATATTTGTTTATTTTGTTTATTGTCTAACGTGTGTTCTACATCACCTTCCACTTATTCACATGCATGATTCTCGCGTATTCAGCTTGCGTTCAATGGATATGATTGTATGCATTTTAATAGAAACTCTGTAAACAAGTTTGGTCCCACATTTGGAAAGGTATTTAGATGGCTTTAATTTATTATTATTATTTCTGTGTTCAATGGAATATGTGATTATGGAATCTTTAAAAATGGAAGAAATTAAACTACTATTAGTGATTCAGAGTTACCCAGTAACTGACATACTCTCTGATGAATTATATCGTTGATGAGTAATGCCTTGATAATGGTACTAGCACGCTAAATTGAAAGGAATTTCCTCCAGTAAACATTACATCTTGCTCATTACCGTTCTCACTCAACACCTTTTTAAGAAAACAAAGAGGAAACATTAGTATGGAGCATTAAAGAAAATAATGCATGATTAATGCAAGAAAGGAATTTCCTCCAGTAAACATTACATCTTGCTCATTACCGTTCTCACTCAACACCTATTTAAGAAAACAAAGAGGAAACATTAGTATGGAGCATTAAAGAAAATAATGCATGATTAATTGATTTGGGGCACGTGTACAAATAAATTCTGAAATTGTAAGGAGAGATGAACAGGTGATATTGTTATCAAGTTATCTCCCACTTGTCTCTTATCTCATAACCTCTGCTTATAATTGTCGTTAAATATTTAATGATTATATGAATATTACGGCAACTGCATATTTAACCCTAACGCTAGTGGAATGCATATGTCAAATTTAGACTAAGGATGACTGAAAAAAAACACGCTTGCTATCCCAAGAGCATTTTTTAATTTATACCACTTCACCTTGCATCAGGTAGATGATCAAGTTGCTTATTCCTTACATCTTACTTCGTCTAGTATGAGTTTGTTATCAAATACGCTGGTATTCATGAATGCGTTTCTCCAAATTCACACCCCGATTGCATGCCAATCGAGGACTGGAGAGTGTTATACGCCCTCAAGTGACTTGAATATCATTGAGATTCAAACAGCTTCCCATAGGAATGTATTTATTACAATGTCATTGGTGAAATGAGCAACCTCCGGGTTTTTACCCCATTCCCTCATTCTATAGCCATCCATTCTTCCACTCATCTAACTCCCCATTTGAGACGAATACTGAAAATGGAGTCAGGCAACTTTTTAATCTCTTTAAGTGTAAACGCTTTCGATTGTTACTGTTATCCATCAAAACGGTCGCTCACCGTCAAGAGATATTAGATTAGGCAAAGTTTTAAAAACGTGATCAAAATGTGTCTCTGAACACTAGATAGACATGGCAAACACATATTCAGACATTTCCTGATGGAGCTAGTTTCCCCCAAGCGTTCAAAGAAATTGTGCAACCGATTTCGTAGAATACAATCAAAATCTCCCCTTGTTATTTTATCAGGAAAACATGTCTGATTTGCCTTTTGGCGGGATTGTTTTCATCGGTTGTTATGTTTGGAAGAAAATCTCGTATAATGGATGTCCAAAGAACTTTTGAAATATTTGAAGAAATAAATTAAAAGATAATCTAACCTTTTTAATTAGTTTATTATATGAAAGCAGAAAATTTAGAGAAACAGAAGGGCGAAGTTTTCCATAAATCTGTCTAAAAAAAAGAGAGCTATGAATGTTAAATAAATTTGTCATCACTAAATCCAAGTAAATCTCAAATTGGCATTGAGGTCAGTCAATTGTGACGTAATCCTTTTGAATTTGAATTTATTAACAAATTTGATTTTAAAAAAAAATGAATTTATTAACAACAACACATCACAATAATGACAGTACATATGAAAAATCATACAATGCAAAAATGATACTGATACATGTATACATAACATAAGAGTAATGTCGATTGAACAGTAATGGTTTTAAAACGATATTTAGACATACATATGCATACTATTAAATGTACAAAAGATATATACGAAAATATGTGTATTACTATAGTAAGGTGAAGTTGTTAATGGGAACTAGAAGTTAGCACAAGTGCTAGTCGATCCTAGTTCCATTCTTTGGCAAGATTTTTTTCTGTTAATTTGTTCATACATATGAATGAAAAATTTGTTTGTTTTGTATTTACATATATACGACAAAATAATACAGTATCATGCAACTTTTTTACATACTAAAATGAAAAAAGAAAAAAGTTTAAGTGTTACAGCATTATAATGAAAAAAGACAAATCGTTGAACAAATAAAATCATCAATAAGTTCATGAAAATGGAAAGGATGTATTAATAAAAATAATCATACAGATGTGCGTACATGCACAAATCCTGTAAAAGCTTAAGGCAGCTATAATCGTTAACAAGCAAGTGTATACATATATAAAAGGAAGATAAGTAAAATAAAAGGAAAAACGGAGGGGGATGGGATTGAGCCCACGTCATTTACATAAAAGGTAAGTGGAAAGATGTCTCCGAAAAGATAACCTTGATGTTTTTAATCTAATTTCATCTGGGAGATCATTCCACAGCTTTGTTCCTACAAACGAAATACAAAATTGCCCTTCCGTTGTCTTACATTTTAGATGATAGAGTAAGCCACTTTCTTTTCTCCTAGTTGCATATCTGTGCTGTATCATCTGACAACAATCCACCAAAGAGTGTGGTAAAACACCTTTTACCAAATCGTACATAAATTTTGATGCAAGAAGTTCATGAAGTTGAAAAATATTTAAAATGTTTAGACTTTGAAAAAGAGGTTTGGAGTCTGTTCTAAGTGGACTGAAGGTAATTGCTCTCATTGCAATTTTTTGACTTAAATATATACAATTTAGATTACTTTTGTAAGTGCTCCCCCATACTTCTACTCCATAAGAGAGATGAGGCTGTATAAACGCCTTATATAATAACACAAGTATATTCTTGGGAACATAATGTCTCAATTTTAACAGAATACCTACTTTCTTTCTTATGCAATTGTTTATTGTCTGAATATGTTCTTTCCATGAAAGGTGACAATCAATTTAAATTCCTACAAATGATGCAACGGATACCTCTTTATAGATACTAATATCTGATCTTGATATTCTCACATATCCTTTTTTGTCTATTGATCTACCTTTGGATTTCATAATCATATAGTTTGTTTTCTGTAGGTTAATTGTGACTTCATTTGCATTACACCATTCCTGCACCTTCATTAAATTTCCACTTACAATTTCTAAATCAATTTATTTTTTTCTAGGATTAAAAGTATGAAAAAGATTTGAGTCATCAGCAAATAATCTGAAAAATTTGTGGAGTTAGGTAAGTCATTTATATATAGTAAAAATAATGTTGGTCCAAGAACGGAGCCTTGAGGGACACCACATGTTATATTCAACTTCAAAGATATTTTGTCTTTATATTGTATAAACTGTGATCGTTTACACAAATAATCTTCAAACCATTGCAAGGCTAACCCACGTATTCCATAATGTGACATTTTTTTGAGGAGAATGCTGTGGTTTATAGTATTAAATGCCTTTTGAAAGTCAATAAAGATGCCAACTGTTGCTCTACCTTCATCAAAGTATTTCAATAGTATCTTTGCAAGATTAATCAAAGATAAACTTAGTGCTATGTTTCTTACGGAAACCATAGTGGTGTTGAAACAAGATATTATTTGCTTCCAAATAGGCAATTACACGATTATTTATTATTTTCTCAAAGATTTTAGCCAGTATAGGTTAAACTGAAATAGGCCTGTAATTACCAGCTAGATCTTTTCGCCCCTTTTTTATAAATAGGTGTCACTTTTGCTACTTTCAGAGCGTCTGGAAATTTACCTCTTTCTATGGAAAGATTGAAAATATATGTTAATGAGCTTGAAATGTATAGGGCAGCATCCCTCAACAATCTTGCCGGCAAATTATCATATCCACATGCTTTTTTTTGCATCTAAAGTCTGTAAGTGGCCTTTCAATTAATTCTCTGTTATTGGTTTAAAAAATAGTGATTTTTCTGTTCTATATCCTGAATATTCTGTAAAGTCAGAATTAACTGGTGGTATTTCATTTGCCAGCTTTGGACCTATGTTTACAAAATACTTGTTAAATTCGTTAGCTATTTCATTGTCATATGTTATCACTCTATTTTCTCCACCACCAGAGCTTGATAATTTCTCTGCATTGCTCACTTTATTTTTGACATTTCCACCACTCAACAACTGGACAACTCTCCCGTTTCTCGTGTACAAAATATTATTAATTTTTGTTTTTACTGCTATGTGCCTTATTCCTTCAGGCACTACTCAAAATATATTGCGGATAGCATATTTTTAAGGTGCTCTAAAGTTGCTCCTAGGTCATACATTAAAATAAAATACAGATTCGGCCAATTTGAAGTGCCCTACGTATATATTTTTTTATTCCAATTTATTTTGACTGATTTCCTTCAAACTTTTATCTTTCTGCTTAATCTCTAATTTTCCTCTTCCTTTCTGAGAAAGCGTAAAGTTTGGATTGCCTTTAAGAATGATTCGATTAAAAATATTATATATATATATATATATATATATATATATATATATATATAATTGACAATTGTTAGCCTATAGATTACGATCTCGCTCCATGATTCCGACACTATAAATTCATTTCCAATTCGCTCGTTACCACTCATGCAACTACAAGGTGTGACGGTACGAAGGACGTTCAATAAGTTCATAGCCCGACTATGAAGGAGCCGCTATTTAGTAACCTATTGATGTCTCTTAAATTTTTCATCTTTTCCATTACAGGTGAAGAGATTACAGTTGAGCAGTAACCACCCAACGTAGTAGAGCAGCTGTTCATACCTAAGACTTAAAAATGACTATGTCAATGGATGTTGTTCAGCAGTTGCCAAGATCATAGTCATGATCTTCTGGGATGCTTCTGGAATCCTGTTCGAGGACTTCCTTGAGCACGGCCACAGGATCGCGGCGATTATCATTCATCACTGGGAGCTTCGCAAAAGAGTCGATGGAAGTCGAGGAAAGGTGTGTGTCTACTCCAAGACAATGCTCCGGCACACATCAATTGAGTAGCTCTAAATAAAGTCATTGAGTGCTGCTTCCAGTTGTTGCCTTAGCCACTCTACTCCCCGGACCATGCACTGTCAGACTATCATCTCTTCCCTCATATGAAGATACCACAAAGAGGTCGCAAGTGTTAGGACGACGAGGATATACGAACGCTGCTGTTATAAAGATTATAGGGGAGTTCTTAGTGAACTTCTTCGAGGAGGGTCTGGAAGCCCTACAGAACCTTCATATCTAAGAGGTGGTGAGCCTGGATGCCTCCACAGGCCTTCCACTTGACCTTGCTTTTAGGATCAAAGTGAGAGTCACAAGTTTCATTGAGTAACGATTCTATCAAGGGAGTCCCCATGGTCTGCTCTGAAAAACGCAATTGTGAATCCTCCTTTCGGACGTGTATTTGCTCAGGGGGTCAGAAAAACCCATTTTGCAGAAGCAAAGTTGAGCTGAATATGTAGGATAGTTTTAACACACCCTACAGACATGCTCATTTCGGCATCAATAATTGTCGTATCGATATGCGCCTGTTCTTAATGAAAATTGCAATTTTCTCAATGCCCTCACATTGTCATCTGTTACTGAAGTGGTGGGCGACCACTGCGCAGGTTGTCATCAATGCTCTCCGTATCAGCTTTGGAGAGAGCTGCCCATTTCTTTACTGTGATGTAAACACGAGCAATGTCCCCTGTAATGAGGCCTGCAGCAGCAGCTCATGGATATCCTTCGGGCTTCGGGTCCTTCTTCTGGAGCGCCATGAAACGGATGACTGCACGTTGCTGAACAACTTCCACTGACATAGCCACAATTTGAACAGCTGCTTTAATAGGTAGCCTAAGGGTGCTGCTTAACTTAAATATCATATCATGATTATCACCTGTAATGGGAAAGATGACATATTGATAAGACATCATCAAGTAACCAAATACCTGCTCCTTCATAGTCGGGCTATGAACTTTAACAGCCCTCGTATTTGGTGATACGAACCTTGTGATATAATGTGTTCTAGGACTCCTACCCGCTGGACATCCAGCCCCGGATAACCACCACCAGTGAACTACCTCCTAGGACAACTACCCCCTAGGGCAACCACCCTCTAGGACGACTACCCCCGGAACAACTACCCCCGGACAACTACCCCCAGACAACTACCCCCTAGGACAACTACCCCCTGGATAACTACCCCCTAGGACAACTACCCCCTAGGACAACTACCCCCCGGACAAGTACCATCCAGACAACTACCCCCTTGGATAGTTGACTGGGGGTATCGTCCTAGAGGAAGGTTGTCGTAGGGGGTAATTGTCTGGGTGGTAGTTATCCAGGGGTAGTTGTCCTAGGGGGTAGTTGACTGGGGGTGGTAATCTGGGGGTGGATGTCCAGGGGGTAGGTGTCCGGATACAGATATAATGCGCCATCTCGTTATATCACTTAGAGGCCATGGAAGGCGACGTTTTATCCAAGAAACATGTCTTTGAATATCATAACAATGATGCATGTCAATTAATTCATTATATAATCTACACTCACTCGAGTTGAGGTTGTAAGCTTTTTTCATACGAAGCCACCAAGCTAAGTACGATAGATTCCTCATTTGTGAAAACATGCCTCATTTGTTTCATGCAACGAAACTCCTAGATCCTTTTTATCTGAAGCAAAAAGAAAATCTAGATTTTTTATTGTCATTGTCGCTGACGAAAAAATCTCAAGTTTAATGGGCTTACTACTCGCAAACGGAGATAAAAGTGCTCACCTCTACAAGAACTGAACTGCGCATCGCGTACTTAATTCCGTTGGATAGTATTGGAAACTACTTGGATAGTCGCAGTTAAGAAATCACATGTGGCCGCGCTTGACCAGGATCCAGGAGTGAGTTGTATAAATTCAAATATAGCTGAATCCAATCGATATGAATAATACTTACCCATACAAAGCAACATACAGGTTATATTGTCACATTGTCTACAGCGTTTGGGATCCCGTTTCTGAACGATATTAGGTGTCCTACCTTGTAGTAGGTTTTCTGGAAAGAAAAAAAACACGAAGAACATACGACATAAGATACAATACCAAGTGCTTTGACATTATTATGAACCTCGGGTAATTTCAATTTTCAAATAGTCTATGGAGATTTTTGTGGGAGATATCCAAATACACAAACAGAGAGGGAATATAAAAATGAACAACAGATTGAGTGATGGTTCATTTCAATTGTTATCTGACGGGATTTTCCTTCTACGTGAATAATTTCACAATACATCTAAACCTTGCTCATTGAGGGAGGGAGCAACAAATCTTGAAAGGAAACTATCTTGATCCCGCTACTAGATAGGAGACCATGGCAAACAATATTAATTAATTTTAATGCCGTGAGTACTAGTAGCAGAATCCCTTGTTATTCATTTCTATTTTTCTCACTATTTCTTTCCTGTATAACATTCATTTCCTCTATATATTGTATTTCTTGGTACCACCAACCCACTACTACTCACCCCACACATATATTTGCATGTAATATTTATATATGTTTTTGTATGTGTTATTGTTTAATTTAAACAAAAAATAATTGTATTTTGATATTGTAATTTTAAGCAGGGGATGATCCCCGATAAACCTCTGTGGTTTTGATCACCCCTCTGCAGGTTCATCTTTAGTTGTAATGTTTTTATATTTGATTGTAATTTATACTGTCTTTTATGAATCTGTGGAAATAAATGAAATTGAAATTGAAATCCCCATGAAATCCAGATAGACAAGCAATAAACCTCACAATCCAGCATAATTAGTTAAAAGGTATATGTAATCCTTGTCATGTTCACTGTATTATAACTAGGGATATTACATTTTGCTTTTTTTTTAAAATCTGTATGGCTTTTACATTTATAAGCAGGAGTTTTACAGGCCAAAAAAAAAGGAGGAAAAAAAGCAGAAATGTCTTAAAATTCGTTGGGATAAAGATATAGCAAGGAATTATTGACTAAATTATTTTGTATTTTTAAAGATTGATTATCTTTCGCTTATCCTAGATCGGATGAATTTAAAGATTTATTCATGGAAACTGACTAGATTTATTATGAGGTATAATCATTTTTGTGAAAATGTTAAAACATGATAGTTCGTTCAAATAACAAGGGGCTGGTAATTCCAGTAACTCCACAATTTATAATCAGAAATTTTCCAAATACAAATACGGTCTATTCCTCAGTGGTCTACGTTGCCTAGCCGACTTGTATACGGCAGACCAAAAGCTCATGGGGCGGATAAAAAAAAATTGGTGAACTTAGAGGTCTGATGTTCCAAAGACAAGTCAACAGCAGATGTCGGTCTCATTGACACTCGGTCTTATGGGCCTGCAGTCAAATTCGATGTGATTCATTCACACGAGGGCGAGGCCAATTCACGTGGCTGACTCGAAGTTTTATTTGATTTAGTTATAGGGGTAATGGGCAGTACAACACTGCCTCACTTCCCCCAGCTTTTCGATGTCCGTTCAGGTTGGTCTAAAACGGGCTGGTAAGGGTTTCGGAGGCGATGCCGAGGAATTTTTACCAAACCATTTAGTGCCACTACAATCAAGCTTTGGATACATTCTAAGAAAAAAGGGTGCAGAATAAGAGTTTCCACGTGTTCACATAAAAATACATTTATTATGATTTGTTAAGCAAATTATAACAATGCACATAAATTTTTTGGCAATGTTACAATTACAATTACATTCACGTTTTAGCAATAGATATATTGATTATATGATTACTAACCCCAAAAAATCATGCATGTTTAATATGTATTTTTGTACGAGCAAATTTCATGAGTATTCCACGATGATGGGTGCAGGATTGCACCTTTTAAAGGGTGCAGAATTGAACCCTTTAAAGTGCTGCTATTGCATCAGTTTGCACCCCTACTGGAGCAGGATTGAACCATAAAGGGTACTAACATGTCCCCTCAAAGGTTCAATGTGGCACCCTTTTAAAGGGTGCAGGATAGCACCTTTAAAAAGGGTGCAGGATTTAACCCCTAAAGATGCTGCCAGTGTTGCATCGGTTTGCACCCCTAAAGGTGCACACTTGCACCATTTTTTCTTAGTGTGTAGAGGAAAACACAACTACATCATGCGTTTATCATTCACAGGCCCTTCGTGCAGAACGCTTTTTAAAGGCAACTGAAAATCTGTAATGAGAGTATTAAGTAAAAAGTAATAATTGTTCCTTTGAACTTCTCCCCTGGGTAAGGAGTGGTAAATGTAGATTAATGATTTGCCAAAAGATATTTGTGCCGTGTCGGGGAATGAACCCAAGACCTTTGAATTTCAAGTCAAGTGCTAATAAACCACTCGACTACGACACCTCACATTCTGAGTTAATATATCTTATCCTGAGATCAACATGTGGGTTTAAATAAGTCAGAGGGTTACGGTTCGAGTCTTGCCGCGGCACTAAGGCAAGACACCATTCTAAATTTACCACTCTCCACCCAGGTGCTAAATGGGAAATGGTAGGAAGAAATTCCTTGAATGCTATGAGCACCGATATCGGTAGCCAAGCAGTGCCGGGGTAATATCGGATCGGAGCGCCTTGAGCACCTTGCGTTATTATGAAACTTTCAACTTATGACCACATTACCTTAAAACAATGGTTGTAAATGATCACTGTAAGATGGAGGAGGACCGTAAGTTATTACACTACGCACAAAGAAAAAAGGTACAAATTTGCATCCTTAGCGGGTGCAGTCTTCTGCTACAATAGCAGCACCCAAAGATTTGTCATCGGCGTACATGACATGATGAATGTCTCGATGGGAAGAGATGGCCGCACTCAACGGACCAGTATACAGGTGAACTCCGATGGTTCGAAGACAGACGCTTGGGGAACACCCTAGGAGAGGGAAAATGGTCTGGAAGTAGAGTCATTTACAACGATGTGCTGTTTGTGATTACCCAGGTACGAATCAAGCCACTTCAGAGCACATCCCTTAATGCCATAGCCTCGCAGGTAGTGATCAATTATAGTTGTCTGATACCATAACTGACAAGTATTTTGACAAAAATACCACCTCCAGATAACTATCCTTTATAGAATTTAACCACAATTACCTTCAGACTTCAAGGAAATAGTCAAATCCACATACTTCGTGGCTAGTTTTCCTAATGGGTAGTACTCTGTAGACAATTTATAGGGGTAATTGTTCAGGGAGGAATGTGTTCTAGGGGTAATTATCCGGAGTATCATTCCGGGGATAGTCCTACTGGACTGAATACTGGTGCGAGGAATCAAACATGCACCTCAACCCCACCAAATGTCAGGTCATGCAAATCTTCTTCGCGCGTCGCCAACTGCCTCCACACGAGATAAAGCTTCTTGATCAACTCATACCCGAAAGTCAGCAGGTAAAACTGCTTGGCGTGATCGCGAGGAACGATTTTCGTTGGACAGATCACGTCGATTTTATCACATCCAGAGCCGCAAGAAAGCTCTATATCTTGAGGATGCTCGAAAGTTTTCCTATACCTTCAATGGACCTCTTCACCGTATTCACCTCATTATGCATACATCAGGCCGATCCTTGAGTACTGCTGTGCAATGTGGCACTTCTCCCTAACCTTGCACCAAGAGAACCAGTTAAAGCGTATCCAGAAGCGTGCCCTTCGGACCATACTAGCCGGGAGGTACTGGTCTTATCACCGTACTCTCCGCGCTTGCAACCTGGTATCGCTCAAAGAAAGGAGAGAGGCTCTTTTTCGGAACTTTGCCACTAAGCTTTTCAAGAACTTTTGTCATTGGCTACCGAAAGCCGATCATTAAACAGACAATTAAGACATAGTAAACAGGTTACGATAACTGAAGAGTAGGACACAACGTTACAAATATAGCGCAATGCCACAAATTATCAAACTGTTGAACTCTAATGCTGAAAATCTGAACATAGAGTTTTAGAACACACAAAATAGTGAATTGAAGATGAATGTTGCCAGTAAATGTGGAAATGTATTTTTTTGCCTCAAAATAACTTTTTTGTAAATAAATTCCTTTTTACCAGCTCTGTGTTCGTGTTCCTCTCGCTCTGTGTTCCTCTCTCACCCACCCCCTCTCTCTCTTTCTCTCTCTCTTTCCCTCTCCCTTCTCTTCTCCCCTCTCTCTCCAGTCCCTCTCCTTCAACTTTCCTTTCCTTTTCTCCATATTTTTCTTTACTTCTTTCTTTCCTTTCTGGGTTTTACTGAGTTTTTTCGTCGAATTATTGTTGAAAAAGAATTGTAAATATGATGTTTTTTAATATTTTCAAATCAAATATCTGTAAATCATGCATGAAATTCAGCCATGTGGCTGCGATATGTTGATGAATAAATACCTTACACGACCTTACCTATAGTATTATATATTTCCCGTTTAAAAGTTTCCATTTTAACGGTTTGCCCACTTTGACTTTGATAGATGAATATCGTGTTCTTTTTTTCTGTTTTCAACTCCATTTTCATTTCATTCATTTGTCGATCAATCCCCTGACATCAACGATCCAATTAAGTGGATGACGTTACGAAATAAGACAAGAAACCATTTGGTGAATAATGTAGTCACAAATCACCAGATAATAGGGACTTTTCGATTCGCACGTAGACGATGTGGATTGCTACGATCGACGTCCTTTTAATGCACTGCCTTGAATGGACGTCACACGTATCAGACCACGCAAATCAAAAAGTCCCTAGTAAAAGCGGTCAACTGCATACACAATTGAATTTAAGTAGGCGTATATGCAATGAGTACCAAAGATTCTCCTAAGACAAACAAGTCATTCTGAATTGATCGACACAACACCCCGATATGAATTCACACCTTACGATATAGGAATTCAAATGAGAAATGGAGAAAAAAAGTGTACCAACTTTGATAGCTCCTAATTTGAAAGTAATATCCAATATGACTTTGAAATCTATTTCATCATTAACAGTCACTTGTTTTCTGTTGTATGATACCCTCTTCATGATATTTCTGTCACGGGTGGCAGAGCTTTGAGGTGTTGTCAAAGTTG